AATAATAATAATAATAAGGGGGTTCTCGTGGCCTACAGGTTATGTTGGCCTCTCATAAAAAAATTTCTTCTCTAAAATTGTCTCCTTTCACCTCGTTTCCTGCTCTCTAGCAATGTTCTGTTGTCTGCTTTCTTTTCCACTTTCTGTCCCCACCCCCTCACCTCCTTTGCCCCCTCCTCTGGGCTCCTGGCTCTTTCTGCAGCTTTTCTACTAGTACTACTACTCCCTGTCTTTCTACCACACCCCTAATCTTCTGGTAGGAAAGATCTACACCTAGCCTTCTCGGACAAGGGCGAAAAATCTCCGAGGGTCCGTGTGCAAGTTGCGCACGTTAAAGATCCTTGGTGGTCTAAAATTGAAAAGAGTAGGCTTCGACCGCCACCCGGGCAAAATTCAAAATTTCCTACCTACTGAAAATATTAGGTGTGTCCCGTGCGCTCATATGACCTTATGCTGTTGCGAGCGCTATAAAAACACTTACCAAAACAATACCAAACAATTTTCGTAGAGCGTTCACTGAACAGCCCACTGTTCACCCATTACGCGATCAAACACATCCAACGGTTTGAATAAGTGTCAACACCACTTTAGCCTAAGCGTTCAATTGTTGTCGAGTCCATTTCATACGTCACTTGTCCAGCTGAAGAATCCGGATAGTGTAAGTGTGTAGACCCTAGTGTGTAGTAGACTAGGCTACACCGCATGGGCTTTAACATTTTGTCGTGTGTCAGGTCTGTTTGTGTGTGACAGACGTGGATAAAAAGAACTATAATAATATTTATTCTGACTGTGATTTGAACATTGTTTCGCAATGTTGCTGTGAGTTTAGTGCTTAAAAAAACAAACAATTCTGTTTTGACCTGTTGTAGTGCGATAACGTTTGTTGGGCGTATTTTAAAGGATTTTTCTTCAGAGCTTTCTTTAATTATAATTAATACTTTAAGATTTTAGTGTTGGAAAGATCTCTCGTACATTTCTGGACTTGTGTTCTTTCTCCCCCCTATGGATTGATAACTGGGGGGGATTTTTAAGGTACTGGTTTGTTGTTTTATTGTATTGATTGATTTATTATGTGTGACTGCTCATCTGTTCGTCGATTCTTTGTTAGTCTGTGTGTGAGTGTTTGTGTAAATACGTACTTGCAACTTTAGATTTTGCATGCATACGTGTAAAGAAAATGTGGGCACATGTGTGTATGTGTGATTGTGTGTGTGTGTGTGTGTGTGTGTGTGTGTGTGTGTGTGCGCGTGTATGTGTGTGTGCGTGCGCGTATGTGTGTGTGCGTGCGTGCGCGTATGTGTGTGTGCGTGCGCGCTTGTG